GAAATTCAATTGTGGCTCCCATTGTTGGGGAAGCAGACATGAGTAAAGGGCACCCATCTCCTTCACATGCTGAAAAGAGTAGGGTTTCTTATATGCTCCCTCTTTAAGAGGCACTTTATTTAAGAAGATAAGAGCTTTGTGAGCACGTAGCCAAAGTTTTAGATACTCTAGTTTGGAGGAAGTTGTTAGGTGCTGTCCATTGCCTCATAGCTGACCCTCCACAAGGTTTTCAGAGGCTGTAAATAGCGCATGGAAGAGTTTGCCCATTTTCCTCTTATGTCACAGCTTGTGGATTTGATCAGCCTGACTTCAGATTGGCAACACAACTTCTTACTCCCTAGGTCACCAGAGCTTAAGGAAGATAAGTTTCTCTTTATTAAAATAATACTGATATTTCTCAAAGAACTGGACTAGGTAGCTTGTATAGAAAAAATATGATTGTTTTTGGAAGCTAATGGTGGAGATACAATGTTCACACGAGGTCTCTTCCAAGTTTGGAAGAACCCTTTTCTTATGTGATATAATAGAATGATCAAGTCTGATTAATTTACCTCCAAAATGTGCTATTTTAAGAACTTTATAATAACTATATGTGTATGTATAAAAGTATATAGTTTGAGAAAAGACTATAGAAACAGTAGTAATTTACTCTTAGTTTTCTTGCGTAGATATATAGATATCAGATTTCCCTCTGGAATATCAAGGAAAGTCATTATTTATTGGCAGAAGAAATGCAATCCACTCATGAGAAAAGACCTTGAGTAGTTGTATGATTGAATTCCCTCAAGGGCCTGTGACTGTAAGTTCTGGGAAACGAAAGATAATTGGAATAGTTAGTATTTTCACTTATATTTTCGTGATCATTCTGTATCAGCATTTATAGTTCTTTCCACTCTTTTTCATTTAGTAATATAAACATGTTTATTTAAACATAATACACATACCAAAAAACTGCATAAAATATAAGTACAGTTTTATGAATTTTTATAAGGTCAGATAGTGAACACAGAAAATTATAGAACATAGCTTTGCTCTCCAGCTATTCCACTCCTGAGTCACCCCCTTTCCAATAAAAGTTTCTACTCTATTCTATGTTCACTCACTCACTCACTCATTCATTGCTGTCCAATAAGAATCTGTTCATAGCTGAGCCTCCAGCAGGTTTTCAGAGACTATACATCATATGGAAGGAGATTGCCCACATTTCTTCTGTGGAGTCACTGCTGGATTTGAACAGTCAGAGTGTGCAACTCCCTTCAGGCTATGCCATCAGAGCTCCCAGCCTATATTAGTTTTCTTATTGTTGCTGAACTTCAACATCGTTGGGATAATACAGTATGTATACTTAATTGTTACTCATCTTTTGCTCAAGATTGTGATTATATGTTTATCCATGATGTTGCTGCATATAATTTCCTTTCATCGTTTGGTATAATATTTTAAACTATAGCTGTAATAAACAAATCATATTTATTGCTCATAAGTCAATTACTAATCACAGCAATTTATGTGGCAGTGTAGAACAGCCCTATAAGGGTTCCATTGTTATCATTTTTGTGGAGATAGACTGCTCCATCTTTCTTCCTTAAAGCACAGGTAAGTTCCAACCATTTGCATTTGGTTAGCAGTGAGCACTTTAATGATTATTTTTTATTATTATTTATAATTATTATAATGTCTCAGCACCCTTTTATTGTATATTTCTATTCCCTTTGCCCATCTTCTCTGTTTATTAAAATGATGTAGATTTTTAATTGTAATACACATAAGATTGATCTGAAATGAATAGACTATCAAACATTCTGTATATTGTTGCTGTTAAGTGCTGTCGAGTCTTAGACGACTCATAGAAACCCTATGAACGAAAGACCTGTATAGCTTTCATCATTTCTCAAATTTCAGTGTATTATTGTTATTACCACCACCATATATTATTACTCTTTAAACCAAAACTCATCCAGGGGTTTCAGCCTTCATTTAAACAGTAGCCTATAATGTGACCAGTAGCATCAGGGAGGCACTAACTCCTTTGAATAAGGTCAAAAGAGTAGTATTTTCCCAAAGTTAAAGCCCTAAGGCAAGGACAGGTAAACAGAAGGCATAATGGCCAAGTGGGAAAGTAAGATTAATACATAGAGTGTTGTCCTTCTAATCAAAAGATGGTGCTTTGGTTTGAATCCACCAGTGGCTCTGTATGAGAAAGGTGGGACAGACTGTATAATTGACAGCCTTGAATGAAGACACTTCTCAGCAACCAGACTGTCAACATTCCAGAGAATATTGACATTACTCTGAAGGGCTGCAGGGTTATAGTGAAAGGCCCCCAGAGAATCTTTTGGAGAAATTTTAATCACATCAATGTAGAGCTCAGTCTCCTTGGAGGAAAAAAAAGAAGAGGCTTTGTGCTGACAAATGGTGTGGAAACAGGAAGGAATTGGCTCCAGTTTGCACCATCTGTAGCCATGTACAGAACATGATCAAGGGTGTTACATTGGGCTTTTGTTAAAAGATGAGGGCTGTGTGTGCTCATTTCCCCATCAACGGTTGTGATTCAAGGGAGTAGATTTCTCATTGAAATTCAAAACTTCTTAGGTGAAAAATACATTTGGAGAGTTTGAACGAGGCCAGGTGTTGTTTGTTCACTATTTCTAGCCCAGAAAGATGAGTTAATTCTAGAAGGAAATGACATTGAGCTTGTCTCAAATTAGCTACTTTGATTCAGCAAGATACAATAGTGAAAAGCAAGGCTATCAGAAAATTTTTTATGGTACCTATGTCTCCAGAAATGGAACTGTTCAGCAGGCTGATATGTGATAGATAGGAGTTATCCAGCTACAGAAATTAGGCCAGATGAGTCCTAAGATGCATCTGATTCTTGGAATAAAATTCTATTCATTTGAAAAAAACAAAACCAAACCCATAGGAGGGTCACCTATGAGTTGGTTTTGACTGGACAACAATGAATTGTGCAAATTTTTTTGTGTGTTTTGTAAGCAATGTTTTTTAAAGCAAAATGTATGTAAATAGCTGAATGAAAAAAGGTTTTATAATTTTTCACTCACAGTATGATAAAAAACTAAAAATTAGTATGTTGTTGTTATTGTTAAGTGCCATCGAGTCATAGACGACTCACAGCAACCCTATAAATGGAAGACCTGAACACTTGTATAATTTCCATAATTTCTCGAAGTTGATAGGTTTTCCCGAGGCAAGCTATTTGGGAAGTGGATGCCACTCCTGCTTCCAAGTTTGTTTTAGTTGGGAAGCTTCACCAAACACTGTCCACCATGGGTAACCATTATTACAGTTGACATTTCAGTGTCACAGTGTTTAGCATCACAGCAACCATGAGTTACCTCTGTACAACAAATGGACAAACGAGTGCTATGCCACTTAAAAGAATTTTTCTGTTATTATGCTGTGCTCTGAACACTCGTGTGATTGTTTTGTGTTGTTTATATATGTATGTCTGGAGTAGAGTTGTTAGGTTAAAGAGCATACTTATCATTAGCTTTATGTTGTTAGGTGCTGTCAGGTTGAGTCTGACTCATAGCAACCCATGTAAAAAAAGACTAAAATCCTACATGACACTGTTCCATCTTCATACTATCTGCCATGTATAAGCCATGTTGAGTCATTGTGTCAATCCATCTCAATGAGGATCATCATCTCTCTTTCTAACCAACTATTTTCCCCAGCATGGCATCTTTTCTAAGATCTGGCCCCTTTTGATAACTTGCCCAATGTATGTGAGATGAAGCCTCATCATCCTTGCTTCTGATGAACTCTTTGTCAGGCTGCTCTTCTTCCAAGATTAGCTTTATAGGTACATCCAAACAATCTGTCATAATAACTGTACCAATTGTTACTCCCACGATAAGGTTATGAGAATTCTAGATGTTCCACCTCCTCACCAATCCTTGGCATTTACAATAAGCTATTGCTGAAAAACAAATAAATTTAAAACTTAAAAAACCCCAGCTTAATGGTTTGAAAAACAGTTCTTTATTATTGCTGATGAATCTCCAGGTGCACCTGAGGCCCATTAATAAAGGCTAGGCTTTTCATTGAAGCAATGGGTCTGCCAGGAATGGATTCCTTCCTGAGGTCTAGTCCATTTATTCTGGGGAACAAGTTTGAGCATTGGTAGACAGTAGATGCCCAGGGGAATTCTCTTCTCATAGAGGTGACACAAGTACATGAAGGCTAGCATAAACATCCATGACTTCTTATGGCTTATATTTGACATTTTAAAATCATTACATTTGATTCATTCTGTTAAGCGAAACAAGCCGCATGTCCTAATTAAAAGTTAAAGGACAAAGATAAAAAGTCCATAAATTTGGTGTAAAGAATTTGAAGATGCCATGGCAAAAGGTATAGATATAGGAAGGAATATAGGACTAGGCAATATTTAATTTTGCTTTATATGAAGTCAGAATTAGTTGGAGCCAACTCTGTGACAAATAATACCAGCAAAACTGTCTATCAAGAAATATTAAATTATTTATAATGAGGAAAGGGATATAGTTTAGAAACTCAGATCTATACAAAGAAAGGAAGAATATCAGAGAAGAAATGAGGATAAAATAATTTTTTATTCTTATTTTAGTAGATTATAGTCTGTTCAAAGGAATCAACTGTATCATTAATATCAAACATAAGTATTTGGTTACTTCTGTAAGAGGGAAGTGTCTTTCATCTGCTCCTTTCAGTAAAATACTTGTCTGTCGAGGAGAGCACATAGATGAAGGCTCCCTCTCCCCAGGATCACTCCACACTCTTACCGCCACTTGCCCTCCCCTTGTCTGCCTTTCTCTTCACTGGCCACTTGGCGTCTTTGAGCAAATGCCCTTCCCCTCAACGTAGCTACTACAAAACAAAGAATCACAGTACCTGTTCCACTCTTATTAGCGTAAGGGAACCAAGCTCATAAGGTAGAAACTGTGGAGAAACAGGGACAAGCCGCCATCTTGGTAAAGGAGAAGAGGGTTGACGAAACTTCACTCAAAATGTCTAAGCAGCAGCCAGCCCAGTTTATAAATGCAGAAACTCCCGGCTCTGTTGGATTTGCAAATCTTCCAAACCGAGTTCACCGAAAATCAGTGAAAAAGGGATTTGAGTTCACACTGATGGTTGTTGGAGAGTCAGGACTAGGAAAGTCGACACTAATCAATAGCCTGTTCCTGACTGACCTCTACCCAGAGAGGGTCATCCCTGGGGCTGCAGAAAAGATTGAGAGGACTGTCCAAATTGAGGCCTCCACTGTGGAGATTGAAGAATGGGGTGTCAAGCTGCGACTGACGGTGGTGGACACACCTGGTTACGGGGACGCCATCAACTGCCGAGACTGCTTTAAGACCATCATCTCCTACATCGATGAGCAGTTTGAGCGCTACCTGCATGACGAGAGTGGCCTGAACCGGCGGCACATCATCGACAACAGGGTTCACTGCTGCTTCTACTTCATCTCTCCCTTTGGACACGGACTGAAGCCCCTGGAC